CTTTCTTTTTGTTGATTTAGGGTTTGCCAGGGTTCAAGAATGCCTGTTATATCATACGGCTTAGGTACGGCCCCCATACAGTAAGAGTCTATAGTAGGGCTACTATTAAGGTCCTACCATATCTGTATTATGAATATTATTCAACTATTACTGAGTGGGGGCCGTACCCAACATACGGCCATTAGGTGGTTTACGGGAGCTCCAGGCGGTGCTTAGTGACTCGGGTGTTTGATTCTCCTCTTTACACAAATCCCTCAGGGTCCTCATACCTAATAATCAGATATTCTCCAAAATACTATATAATATAGCCTATACAAAACTCCCATCCTCAACCCACGCAGCTAATTGTTGAGTCCGCTGCACCCTTCTGACTTTGCCGCCAAACCATCTATCGGAATCTGTTTAAACGAACTTGGAGCCACCGGCAATCACGCAGGATAGCACCGCTGGTTGAATGCAGATTACTGTTTCATCCCTTACTTCTAGTACCATGATTATATATGAAATCGCAAGAACAAAGACGGCCTCAGCATGCTTGAGGGTTTTTTGGTTGTGGTGCTCAGGGTGTAAGGGTAGAGCTTGTGGGTCAGGCTGTAAGGATAGTTTAGCAGCTTGTGGTTCGCGACTCGGAACTTGAGATTGATTCGGTTTTGAGCCGAGGCAGGGGGGCATGCGCTTTCCCCAGCGGACCCAACGCACCCAACAGTTAGGTACTTAGGTTTCCCATATAGTAGTTATGTAGGTTACTATTCCGGAGAGCATATGATTATTAGGTACTTGGAACCCTGGGGTTTCTTTCGCATGTTATACTATAACTATAATAAGGAACCCCCAAAGCCTCGTTCGAATTATAAGTTTTCACAGATAAACGGCCAGGTGCACATGAAGAAAGAAGTCGCGGGTGTCACCCCTAACACCCCAGACCCTAAACCGTAGCACCGAAACCCTCAAGCCTAAAACCCTAATCTCTAAACCTTATGCCTCGCAGACCGTAAACCCTAAACCCTAAACCTTATGCCCCACAGAACGTAGGCCGTGCCGCCTCCATCGCAGCTCCTTTTTTGGGTTACCTGAGAGGATTCTTAATGTATAACTGGTTAAACCAACCAAGAAGGAACTACGATGGAGACTACACCCTAAACCCTAAACTCAAGACCCTAAACCCTAAACCCCATGCCCCAGACCCTAAGCCGTACAACCCAAACCCTCAACCGAGGTATCGTGGGTTGAAGATCCGCAGCAAGTGGCAGGAGACACTTCGGCAGGCTCTTCGTAAGCAGCGCCTTGGTTTTCCAATTCATATAGGGGCCTTAATCATTAGAATAGGGCTTTAGGGCCCACTATACTATACTTGTAATAATTAAGGAGCCCCCAAAATAGTCTTGGTAATTATTCAAGCCCCTATAGTACTATAGTACACTCTTTTCAATTGCTTGGCTTTGTAAGTAGCTTGACACACGAAAAGCAAGATCTAAATCCACACCCCTCAACCTCAAAGCCAAATCCCTAAACCCTGTAAAGCTTAAAGCCTTCTTGTATGTAACTACTTGTCAGTATAAGTTGGTGATTAACTGTCAACAGATTGCGATCTCCGCGAACAAGTTGTCGGTGTTCAAACGGTTTATGCTCTTCAGTTTAACCCGTTCATTGCGGTGCATCTGTTATTAAAGTTCTTTGTTTTTCAATGTCTGTTCGGGCCCCATGGATCGTGGGGAAGATCAGAACTAACGCCGCAATCCCAAGGCCTAAACCATACCCTAAACCCTGCCTGCGGGGTCCCCGTGTTTTGGTACACCTACTTTTCTATGCAGCAGCTCCTCACCCCTTACCATAAGACTACCGGGTATCCTAGGGTATGACCCTTCAGGTAAAACCCGAAACCCAACAAAACCCAGTTAACAAAAAAAACAACGAACCCCTAAATCCCTAGTTTGCAGACCCCGACTACTTAAAGGATCATGGGACTTAGTAAGTAAGGTTATATGTACCTTAATTGGGGTTATAAGTATAGTTGCCCCAGTTACTACGTCCCATGATCCTTCAAGTAGTGCGTGAAGCCAGGCGGAAGTCCGACGAGATCCGGCTGCAGAACCAAATCCGCGTGGTCAAGGTCCTACAGAAGGCCCTCGGATTAGGGGTATTTAGATTTGTTTTAATTTTTGGTCATTATAATCCCTAAGAAACAGCTAAAATCATAATTTTTGCTAGGGTTCTAAGTTCAGTATAGCTCGGAGGGAGGGTCCGGGCTTCATAGGGTTTGGGTTTAGTAGAGGTTTAGAGGTTTAGGGGTTTAGGGGTTGAGGCATTTAAGTGCTTACGAGGTTAAGGGTTTGGGGTTTAGGCGTTTAGGGTTTAGGGTTTAGGCGTTTGGGGTTCAGGGGTTTAGGGGTATAGGCTTCAGGGGTTTGGGGGAGTAGGGGTGTAGGCATGGGGTTTAGAGGTTTAGGGTTTGAACTAACGGCAGTTTTAAGGGTTTTGGGGTTAGGGGTTTAGGGTTTAGTTGGTCCTCAAGCAGGCTTGTGCAGAAACGTGGGCACCACATAGAGGGGCAATAATCATTAAGCCTAGGGTGTTCAACGGGTTTTTGAGTTTTTCCCTACGAAAGGCCTGTGGAAGCACATTGGTACCTAGCAAAGGAGCTATAATCACTAAGACTCAGCCGTTTCAGGGTTTTGGATTCTTTCAGCCTCTTGCAGAAGGCCTTTGGCAGCACATTGGTACCTGAGACGTCAAGCCTAAATCCTAAACCCTAAGCCCTAACCCCTAAACCCTAAGATTGGGGTGCTCTTGGGGTCTTGTGGGTTTGTATAGGATGCTATAAGGTGTTAAGTCAAGCTAAATAAGGCATAGTTTCATGCACTGTGTGTGTTTGTATGTGTATAAAGAACCATTACTAAACATGTTGTATTTATGTACACAGACATAGAGGAGAGCATGTTAAGAAATGTGGGTCGGATATGCGGATTTTCGTAGCGCTGACGGACAGGCGACCATAAGTAAAACATTAAAGATATTGTCGTAGAAGAACCTGAACAAAGTCTGCAGTCTGTCCATCCGGACATTGAGGATCACGGTGGACGGAAATGATGGGTATGCGTTTTTCGACAGGAGTGCATGAACGAAGAAAGGGCTAGATTTATGGATGTCGGGATAGATGCCCACTCGGGCCTAGTGGTGCGAGCGAACAAACTGCAAAACATGTGGAGAAGAGTTGAGCCAAGTTACCAAGTAGTACAAGGGGCAAGCTAAACCCCTAAACCCCACTCATCCCGGGTTTTGGAGCAGCATTCTGCCGACTCGAAAAGTGGCAATTTAAAAAGAACACCCTGCCTAAACCCTAAAAGCCTAAAACCTCAACAGGCCATCAGGGTCTACCTGGCCAAGAGGCGACTCGTGAGAAGCCTTGAGGCGGGTCGGGAAGGTATAGGACCTGGTCCGAATACTCCGAGTAGGTTCATGAGGTCTGTTACCGAAAGGGTCCTAAGTGGCCCTCAATTCTGAAAGGCATGCCACAAGGGTCGAAATACATAATCTTCATGGTGTCCCGTTTTAGTGCGATCTCAGCAGAACGCACCAGAGCAAGCCCTAGTCACATATAGCCTAAACTCTAAATCCCTAGTGCAATTAATTTCTATGGCCCTGAATCGGCGTTTGGCTCCAGCTGCCCCGAAACCCGACAGCTCCTCAAGCCCCAACGAAAAGCAACAGCCTCATATAAAGAAAACACCAGAACAAACTTCGCAAACTCAGAGTGCAGCCCTTATCAAGGAACCCCATAAACACTCTCAGTTCCTCAAGCTTTTACCCTAAAAGAACCCTTGTTTCCGTGAGGCGGGACCACAGCTGCTGAGGGAATCGACTGACGACTCCCACAGCAAAAACTCGAGATGCTCGACTTCCTCACGGGTTTTGGGTTCAATAGTACAGGGGCCTTAAATATATTGGGGTTCCTCATTAATTATAACTACAGTTTAATTGGCCCCAACATCCTAGTACAATTATGAAGGCCCCTACATTAAGTTGGTTGGTTGGTTGAAGGCTTTAGCATCAGGGTTCGAGGGTTCTGTTTGCAGTGCTTTCAGGCGCAGGAACTTAGTTCTTCACTTTTTTCGGGTGCTTGAGCTTGAAAATCAAGGCATTCAGAGTGTTGTTGCCCGAGCTTTGCGTCTTTATGCAAACATGGCCCTTGCCCAGCAGCCTGGCCATGACAGTCAAGACTCCAATACACAAACAAACGCACACACACACACACATCCTATGCACACACCCTGTGCGCACTCATTGAAAACCAGGTCTGCGTGCGCCTGTGCGCATGCGCTCACTCACGCACATGCATATGCACCAGGGTAAATGCTCATATCTGTGCACGCAAAAAACTCGCAACCGGGGAAGAATGGTTGTGTGTGGCTTGTGCAGCAAAGGATATGTTGACAACTGGCGTCCAGCTGCAGAGAAGAGGCTGCTGCTCATCTCAACCTGTGCCACCGTACCAATTACAGGACGATAGTTTTATAGTAATACTAATAATAACAAGTACCAATGTTAAGAAGCCAGCACTAGCAAATAATAAATGTTATCGTACGAAGACTAAGTAACCGGTCTGTTCGGTTTGGATTTGGAGTCTCCTGCCAACTTATAGATGTGTCAGTGCCAAGGACGTGAAGGGTTCTTCGTGCTGTTGGAGCGGGGCTTAAGCAAGGTTATAAGTACCTTGATTGGGGGTATAAGTATAGCTACCCTAATTATCTTATATGTTACCAAGTCCCCCTGATCCTTTAAGTTGGGACTGTTTCCCAAAGCCCTCAACCTGAAATCGTTCGAGAGCCCTACACATCGTATATGTGATAAACACCTGCTAAACCTCCAGGCTCTCTCAAATGCGTGAGTTTAAATCTCAAGCCTCAAATCCGAAACCCTAAACACGTATCCCCAAGCCCTAAACCCGCGTCTTTCCTGGCTACAGGGCCGAGCTCAACCGGCTCGGGTGCTTCTGTGCCGCCATGGCCGCAGCCGAAAGCGATTCCTCAACGGCGCCTCCGGTCGTGCAGGACGTGCTGCAGAAATTCGCCCAGTATGGATTTCGATCCCCTTGGATTGGCACGCTGGTGATTTATGCCTCGGTCTTCCTTCTCGCGTGATCGACACAATCCTCTACTTCCTACTAGGCACGGACTACTGGACGAAGGAGGAGTTGTGCCTCGTCAAGGCGGGTTTTCGTGATGATGCCGCCGATTTGAGCTTTGGTTCTCACCTCATGACTGAGTCGGAAGCCAAGCAGGCCTACAAGGCCTTGGCCCTCAAGCTTCACCCGGACAAATGTGGGTGCAGTGAGGCCTTCCTGCGGATGAAAGCTGCTTACGACCAGCGAAACGACAAGAAGGATGAGCAGAGGAAACGGAAGGGACGGCCTCGCAACGAGGCGAAGCGACTGGCGCAAACCGCAAAAGCCGCTCGCTCTGCGCAGCGCGCAGAAGCGAAGCGGCTGCGCGAAACTTTGTCGACGCGGAAAAAGCCGTGGCCAGGAACGTGGACCATCAGCAAGTGCCTTGGTGGTTTGCATTTTTGCGGTCTGTGCGCTGAACATCAGTGGCCCACCAAAACAAGGGAGCAGAGAGTGAAGTCGCAAGGGCGTTTGACTTGAGGTGCAGACAAGTGCACGTCTTGTGGAGAAAGGGAGGCTTTTGCACTTAAGCAACAAGCCCTAAGTCCAACATCTATGAAAAACCCTACGCTTAAAAGGGCTTAAAACCGCACAACTTACAATTATTCTCCGAAAGCATCGACAAATCTTAAACCTAAACCGAGACCTTGAACAAAACATCCTAAGCCCTATACACCCTAAACCAAGCCGAAAACCGAGCTCAGGTTGCGAGAGCGTCCGCCCCCGGAAGATCGTGAGTTGGCGAAGATGGAGGAGGCGACTTCGGTTTAGGGTTTGCGGATTTAGAGTTTAGGGGTCCGGCTTTAGGGGTTTAGGAGGATTAGGGCTTAGGGGTTTAAGGTTTTGGGTTTTGGGTTTAGGGTTTAGGGTTTTGAGGTTTACGGGTTTATGGTTTAGGAGTTTGGGGCATGGTCCCGACCGAGACCATACCATACCTACCGAAGATAGCAGTATAATCATACTATCATCTACTCCCGAGTCCTGTTTTGAGTAGTAGATTAAGGCCCGAAGTGTGGCCCTAGATGGTAGCTGTTGCCTGCCGTTGTTGCCTACTGGTACCCGAAACTGTAAACCCAACAAAACGCATCGGTACAACAACTCCGGGCCCCTGTAGATCCCGAATTTCAGTACCTTGCTGGGGTGGCGAACGTAATTCATGGTCAATGTCCAATAACAAGCAGAGGTAACCCAACAAGGACCTGCGTGTAAGGCCGGGGTAGATGGTCATTAAACTGTAATCTAACAGACCCCAAAACCCTTTCTAATCTAAAGCACCTATAGTACTGTAAAAGACCTCGCTCCGGCTCCAGAATTCCCCAGCCTACATCCAGCATTCAACGGTTCGCTTCATGGTCAGTGTTCTGTAGTACTGTAGGAAGGAAAAGCTATACTGAATGGCTGAATAGTTAGATTCGGCCTGTGGGGTATATGATAGAAAGATCATAAGGAGCCCTAAGGACTAGTGGCCAGCTTTATCGACCTTCTCTGGTTGCTGCTAGTAGTGGTAGTAGTAGTAGGAGGAGGAGGCGGAGGAGTAGGAGGAGGCGGTGGCCCAGAGACATGGCCAGAACAAGGAATTGACAGGCTCACCCTACTCAGGAGCTTGTTGTTTCACCTGTGCCCGGACGGGGGTTGAAGAGCTTCGACAACTTGTTAGGAATTGTTTTCCACTGCTCGGGTGTGGATGGATTGGCCAGGTGCCACTCTCTGCGCATGTGCAGAAGGCAACTGAAAACTGGAGTGGCGTGCGCCAACTTGTGACCAGCGGCACGTGGTCTTAGGGGCCAGATATGGCCAGATCCTGTTGTGGGCGGTGAAATTCTTTGCTCTCCGCCTAGATTTCCAGCGACGTCGCAATGAAAGAGCGGAACCTGCCGTCCGCAAGCTGTCGAATACCAATTTCGAAGACGGTCAAGGAAGCGGCATCCGGAGACGGTCCCAGTCCTACATAGGTATTGTTTGGGAGATATTTTCCCCAACTCATAATCAGGATTCCTAATGTAGAAACCCTACATTCTACTATATGGGCACCTTGGACCCTCCGGGGGTCTAATTCCAGCCTAGACTAATTCCTCTAAATTCTGCTTTTACACAGCATATTACAATAGATGGAGACACCTTAACTTTAAACCCTAAACCCAGCTCAACCCATGTCCACGGCCTTACGGTACCCACACGCATAAGCTTAGACCCGGATGGGAACCTCGTCATAAGCAACTATGGTGCCTTTACAGGAGCTAAGCCTGAACCCTAAAGCCTTAAAGTCGTATCCAAAAAGCATGCTTAACATCTTAAAGTCTTAAAGGCTTGATAAACCCGCCACAGAACCTTTGACTACCCTACAAAAAACTTGTGAAGCCCTTTTGGAACCTTGAAGAACTCTTAAGGTAAAAGCCAGAAAGTTGGAATATGATTATCCTAAACCCTTTATGGTAAATTATAAGGTATCCTACCCTGAAACCATATTCCAACTTTCTGGAGTTCCCTTTAAACCACCTCAGGCAGGCCTTATCCCCTTCTACTCGAATGTCGCCACGAACACGATCCGACATCGGATTGGTGGCCCACATGCCCTGCGCCAGGGCGCTGATTTGGTTTTACAGGGCTTTCGGTTCAGGGATTGCGGATGTTTGGGGTTTACCAGGACCCTCCTTGTACCCTCAAATAGGGTTCGAAATAAGGGCTGTGAGATAGGTTTGCACGGCGATGTTGAGCCCAAACCCTAAACCCCTATACCCTAAATCGCGTGGCAGCTCTAGGTTTTTCACTGTTTAGCTAGGGCCTCGTGGCTAAAGGGGGGTTATATCGCTTAGGGGTTTAGGGTTCAGGGTTTAGGACTCTTTCTATAGTAGTTGCTACAAAGGTTCTGCATGGGCTTGGGAACCTTCCCTGTCATAGGGGTTTAGGGTTTTGGGGTTTTAGGGTTTAGGGTTTTAAGGTTTTGGGGTTTAGGTTGGGAAGAAGGCTGATCCCAAGAAGGCTTGACTTCTTCGGATGATATTGCAGTGCTGTTGTCACGTCCAATGCGGGCAGTGGTGGCAAGGCAAGGGTTCGGAAGTCGGGATGAAGTGAGCTAGGACCTAGAGTAGTAGGCCCTTATTCCCTTTTTTAGGGTTTAGGTTCCCTTATAACACCCTTTAAACCAAAAAGGGCACCCTTTTTATGCCTAGGTTACTCTTAGGTCTAGTGAGACTGTGTGAAAGGTACAGCAAGCCGGCTGGGCAAGCAATGTCACAAACGTCGCATGAGCCGTGCACAGGTCAAGATCCGCGTCTGTCGGTGAGATGTCACTAACAAGAGGCATTACTTGGAGAATTAAGGCGGGTGGTACGGGAGAGGCTTGTGGACTGCGTTCACGCACACTTAAGCCTCTAAGGGCTTAGAGCGTCGCATCCAAGGCCACGACACCCTGAACTTTCCTAATCTGAAAGCCGAACAAGCCATGAACCCTCCCACCCGAAATCCTAAACCCTCAAATTCTCAAAGAATTGGCCGAGCCCGGAACGCTTAGACCCTTCAGCCACTGCTCCGCCTAAGGAAGATCCAGTACCAGCTGGGTGTTGGCGTCGGGTCGCATCTGAATCGCCATTTCGAGGACCTCGGCCGGGCTAAGGGGGGAAGGAGGCTTAGGGGATTTAGGGGATTTAGGGTTTAGGGTTTGGAGGGTTTCCTGAATCCCCGGCCCTCAGTTCCCTGTATGGGCAGCCGGGAGAGTTAACAATAGAAGTGAGGTATATATAACAATGGTAGCAATAATTGTAGTGATAATAACCAGATAAGACGAATAACCATCATCATTTGCAGCAGCAGCAGCATCAAATAGTACTGCCAAAAAAGCCATAATACAATCATAGTCGACGCTCTACCCTTCAGAATAGAACCCTTAAAGGACGTGAAAGAACCGTACAAACCCCACCCAGTTTCCTCAACCTTGCACCCAAAAACACTTTCAAGGAACCCTCAGGAAACCCGAAACAACATTCAAAGGAACCCTATAAGCCCTCAGAACAACCCGACACCTGAAACTCTAACAGCCTAAGCCCTAAATGCTAAGCCTGAAGCTCCCGAAACCCTAAAATCCTAAAACCTGCACCCTAAACCTTATACACTCTAAACCCTTATGCTCGTTCAGAGCGGGCCTGGATCCTGCGGAGAAAAGGTCAGTGTGCTTAAAAAAACCACACCGCAAACCCGAAACGCCAACTCCAATACACCCCAAAGCCCTAAACCCTGAACCCTAAACACCCCATAAACCCTGAAGCCCTAAACCCCATAAACCCTAAAGCCCTCTAAACCCCATAAACCCTAAAGCCCTAAACCGCCCTAAAGCCCTAAACCCCATAAACCCTAAAGCCCTCTAAACCCCATAAACCCTAAAGCCCTAAACCCCACAAACCCTAAAGCCCTATAAACCCCATAAGCCCTATACCCATAAACCCTAAACCCTAAACACCCTAAAGCCCTTAACCCTATACCCATAAACCCTAAACCCTAAACACCCTAAAGCCCTTAAGCCTATAACCCTAAACCCTAAACCCTAAACACCCTAAAGCCCTTAATTCTATACCCATAAACCCTAAACCCTAAACACCCTAAAGCCCTTAACCCTATAACCCTAAACCCTAAACCCTAAACACCCTAAAGCCCTTAAACCTATAACCCTAAACCCCTGACTTCAGGATGCGGTTTCAGAGACCTCGCCTCGCAGCACTGCGTCGCCACGAGCCTCGAAGCCGCTGGACGCTCCGAAGGAGGTCCAAGCAGAGGCGGCCCAACTTCCCGCAAAAGCTAAGGTTCCTTTAAAGGGCTCCTTAAAGGGATCTATAGGGTTCCTTAAAGGGATCTATAGGGTTTAGGGTTCAGGGTCTACTTGGGAGGATCATGGGACTTAGTAAGTAAGGTTATAGGTACCTTCATTGGGGCTATAAGTATAGTTACCCTAGTTATAACCCTAGTTACTAAGTCCCATGATCCTTTAAGTAAGGTCCAGGGTTTAGGGCTTTAGGGCGTTTGGGGTTTAGGGCTTTAGGGTGTAAGGGCTTCAGGGTGTATAGGGTTCAGGGCTTTAGGGTGTTTAGGGCTTTAGGGTGTATAAGGTTTAGGGTTTAGGGCTTTGGGGTGTATTGGGTTTGGGGCCTAGGGTTTAGGGTTTAGGGTCTGCAGTGGTCACAGTGGCTTTTTGAAGGATAGTATAAGGTTTCCGTGGTCCGAAGGAGGTTTGGAGGATCATGGGACTTTAGTAAGGTTCCTTAAAGGGCTCCTTGAAGGGATCTTTAGGGTTCCTTAAAAGGATCTTTAGGGTTTAGGGTCTACGTGGGAGGATCTTGGAACTTCGAAAAATGAGGTTATAAGTACCTCCTTCATTGGAGTTATTAGTAGAGTTGCCCTGATTATATATATATATATATATATATCTCCCTATAATATATAGTTACTATTTCCCATGATCCTCTAAGTGGTCATCATGGCTTGTTTCAGGGTAGTATATGGGTTCCTTAAAAAGGGTACAAGGCATCCGTTCAGGCTGCTCTAAGGTTCCAAATCACCGAAAAAATAGCTCTTCGGGTTTATGATACAAGTCTTGCAGGATGGATTTGCTTTGGCGGAGTTTATATTATGGTTCTTAGACATTAACTATAAGGCGCGTGGATCCTTAGGGAGTGTTCATAGTTGCTTCTTGAAGGGTACTATAGCCGTTCCTGTAAGGGTACCACTATGAGGGTTCGAGGGCTTCTCGCTTGGGTCCAATCAGACGCAGTTGGGGGCCGGGTTTGGGGTTAAGGGCATCATAATGGTATTTGTGAGAAGCCCGATAGGTCTTATCCCTAAACCCTATAAACCCTAAACCCTAAATCCTAAACCCTAAACCCTAAACCGTAAATTGGGGTTTGGGGTTTAGGCTTTTGGGTTCTTGTGTTCAGGGTTTGGAGTCTTACTGGCTTTATAAGGCCAGGAAAAGGTTCCTTCATTCTATAAGCGGCTTCTTTCGGTGTTCCGTTGGGCTTTTGGGATCTACAGAGGCTTTGGATTTACATTGCATTTAGGTTTTGGGTTTAGGCTTTCGGTTTTTGGGTTAGAGTTTTGTGCATATAAATATATATATATATATATATATATATATATATATATATATAGTGTTCTAGGGCTTTGCCGTCTCGGCTACAGGGCTGTGGGGCTGCGGCTCTAGGATCGTTTTTGGATGCTTTCGGGCTTGGCAGCTTTTGTCAACCCTAATCCCTAAACCCGCAGCCGCAGCCCTAAACCCTGGACCTTACTTAAAGGATCATGGGACTTAGTGACTAGGGTTATAATTAGGGTAACTATACTTATAACCCCAATTAAGGTACCTATAACCTTACTTACTAAGTCCCATGATCCTCCAAGTAAGCTGAAGTCATGAGCCTAAGGCTGAGTGGGGGCCCGTAAGATGGTTTCACGTAGGCACGGCGCGGCAAGAGAATGTGTCATGGTGGGTGCACCACTCTGGATTGCGAGACCCTCCGACAAGAATTTGGGAATAGACTATTCTAGCCAATAGTCCTCCTTAGAGCCTTAGAGCTCCTTAATACACTTCCTAGAGTCTACCACTAAAGCCCTATCCAAACTATGAAGCGGTCACTCTACTGATCTTTGCTCGAGGTGCCTGGTGACCTTCAAAGCGAGAGAAAAGAGGAGGCTTTGTGGAATGCTTGCCTTAGGTGTCTAGGGCTTAGGGTTTGGGATTAGACCCCTAAACCCTAATTGAGAATAGTTGGGGTGGTTGGGGCGGGACTACATGCTGACGCAAGCGCACGATTAGTGGGTGCGCCCCTAGTCCTAAAGTAAAAGGCGCACCCACCGGGCGCATACTGTTACACACCCTAAACCCTAAACCCTAAACCCAATTAGACTGTAGGGTTTAGCTGTAGCTCCGTCGCCTCGGTGATTTTCGCACCTTGGGGTTGTGGCACATCGGAAACCGTCAATAACACTAGGGTTTAGGGTTTAGGGTTTAGGGAGCACTACAAACATCCGAGAGGCGAGCCCTATCTTCGTTGCTGCCGAAGCTCGCGCCGCCCGTCGGAAGTGAGAAGTCCCGGAGTTAGCTGTTTAGGGTTTAGGTTTAGGGTTTATAAGGGCTTAGGGTCACAAGTGGAGGAAGTCTCGGAAAGTTCAGGGTTTAGGGACGCAGGTGGAGACGTGCAGGAGAGTGTTAGGACAGGTTTTATGGATCAGCTGGGGTGCGGGGCGTACTGTTTAGGGTTTTGAGGTTGGGATTGCAGGTTCATACAGGTCCGGACTCCGGTCCCTTTAGATCTCTGGCATTGGGGTGCCAAGTGTTGCTCTTGCTGAGAAGCAAGCTGGCGATTTTCCGAAGTGGAGTCTTACTTGGAGGATCATGGAACTTAGTGAGTAAGGTTATAAGTACCTTAATTGGGGTTATGAGTAGTTAGAATTTACAAGTATAGTTGCCCGGATTATAACACTTTTTGCTAAGTCGCATGATCCTTCGGGTGCCGTCAGACGCCAGCTCAAACAGTCATTGCAAACCTGGAGGCCCCAATCCTCAGGTCGAAGTTCCAAAAGGTTGTAGATTGAAATGCTAAACAAGCCGACAAGCCTTAAACCCCACAGCTCTAGGGTTTCGTGTTCAGGTGTAGGGTCTAACCCTCAACCCCCTTTAATTCTGGCACAAACGGGCACTATATCTGAGGAGAGCGAGATCAAAGCCGTGGAAGATAGGAAGAGTCCGAAGCTGGTGCGGCCCTTCATGCCCCGTTGACTTCTCCAGCCTAAAGTTCGGGTTTGGAGGTTTGAGTCACAGGGCTGATGATAATCCCTAAGGGTCCATGTAACCAGATAGTATATATCCGGGACCAATGCACTTATGTAGGGAGTACTTCAAGGCCTAAGTGTATACTGTTTGGGTACATGGACTATTAGGGAATGGGCTCCTATGGGTCCAGGCGCTTGAGTTCAAATTTGTTTGGTGTTTCTTTGGTGAGGGACGGGTGGTCGGACTCGGACCCGGGGGTCTTCTCACGCTCATGTTTTCAAGCATGAGCCCTTCGAGCCATAGGGTCTATGGTTTAGGGTCTACTTGGGAGGATCACAGGACTTCGTAAGTAAAGTTAGAAGTACCCTACCTCGGGTTATATGTAGTTACAAGTACAGTTACCCTTCATTATAACCCTAGATAACAAGCCCCAGGATCCTTCAAGTGGGGTGCGCCCTGCACTCTGGAACCCTCGAAAAAGACCCTGTCAATCCGCAAACGAAGAGACCTGAGCCCGGAAGCCTAAACCCGGAACCCCAAATCCTAAGACTGAAACACAGAAGCCAGGTTTTTCGAGGCCCTTCAACGACGCAATCCCATAGTATAGAAGCCTAAGCACTTCCATCATACTTGCATTTGCAATTCCTCAGGGTTCCTGTTTGAAGTGTACTATCATCTACCCTGGAGCCCCAGTCAATTTTGCTGGCAGCCCTCTGAATCCCCGAGCTATAATGTCTTGTTTGGGATGGCTCATATGTACATGGTTAACATACTCAAGCAACTACCAAAACGCTTTCAGTGCTCTTATGGAAACCTCATGCGACCTTATATCTTAGAGATACTTGGAAATCGGTTCAAGATTTTGGCAAAGCTTAATTGTTTGGCAAGGATGCCAAGTTCTGGAGAGACACAGCCCTTGTTGCCTTCGTACAACCTCTACAAAACCTTCAAACAACGCCGAAAGAATTCCAGGAACCAGGCATAAACCCCACGCCCCCAAACCCTAAACCCTAAACCCTAAACCCCGAGCCCTAAACTCCAAAGCCCCCAGACCCTAGATCTCCACCAAACCCTTAAGTCCCTAACCCCCGAACCCCAAAACCTAAACTCCAAAGTTGGGTTTAGGGTTTAGGGTTTAGGGGTTTAGGGTTTAGGGTGCAACACTAAACTCCAAACCCCTAAACACCCAAATCCCTAAACCCTAAACTCCAAAGCCTAGGTTTAAAGGCGCGGCTGAGCTCCTGCGAGACGACCTGGGTGGGAACTGGGAGATTTATCCTCAAGGGCTCTCGGATGGCCTGCTGAAGCTTTGCAAAATGGTGGTTCAGGGTTAGGGGGATGTCTTTGGAATTGGAAGTTTAATTTGTTCCTTCTGTAATTATGTTTTTTTTCCAAGGATCCCGCTCAATCTTTGGTTGCTTACCAGTACAGGCGCCTGGATTTGCTTGATGTTACTTCTGGGTCGTGCTGATGAAATATTCTGACTGCTACACCCAACGAGTCTTCAGAATGCCAAAACTGCCAAAACCGCGTCCCATAATCTGCACCACCTGCCACCGTGCGACTAGATGAGCACATGAGAACATGTCTAGGCGAATACCTCATGCATAAGCACACACACATACATAAATGCATATGCATCTATACACGTATCCTTAACTGAGATCATATGTGCATATGCATATGCCTACGTGCATATGTAGCTTTTCCTTGGGTCGATAAGGTTGACCCCTCTACTAGACACTACTACCGCGCAGCCATGTTTCTAAACTTCACACCGCCTAGAACAGAAACACGCCGAAGCCTCAAGCTTGACTTAGGGATTATGATTTACCCTACACCCTAATCCCTTAAACCTTAAACTCCAGGCTTCAAGCTTGTTTTAGGGTTTATGTCATAGGAGGCCAAATGGGGTTTTAGCCTATGGGGGTTTAGTAGGGATTAGGGTTCCCATACTAGGGTTCATATTAAGGAATCCCTACCCCAAGAATCTTAAACCCCCCTTTTGGCCTCCCATCATTATGGTTTAGGACTTCCAGTCGGGCTGCACATGTGGTAAGCAGAGCTTCATTTGCACATGCATCATGGTTTAGGGTTTATTAGGTTTACGGGTTTAGAGTTCAGGCTTTGGGGGGTTTGGGGTTTAGGGGTTTAGGGTTGTGAGCAGCCCATCTTCGGTTCAACTCCAACGCTTAGTAGAACATTCTCAACGCGAAATCATATCCATGCCAGCCACCAAAAACCGAGGAAAAGCCTGGCATTTGACATGGCTCGAGCGCCGTGCCTTTGCGCTGTTATGGAGGTTGAGCGGTTTAGGGTGTTTTGATTTTGGGCATGCAGGGCCCAGGGACCTCACAGTGAGGTCATGTATCTTGCTTTTCTGGAGTTATACTCCGGAGCCCTCTCTGTTGTGGTTCCTGGGATCTATGGAACGCTAAATCTTAAACTCTCAACCCTCAGCTAGAAGCTCCATGATGGTAGCAGTATCCGTAAATCCAAGACCGTAAACCCTCAACCCGAAATCCTAGGCCCTAAACCCCGAACTTTTTGGGAAGCTCGAAGCCCTAAACCCTAAACCCTTAAACCCTAAACCCTAAACCCCTAAACCCTAAACCCTAAACCCTAAAACCCTAAACCCTAAACCCTAAAACCCTAAACCCTAAACCCTAAAACCCTAAACCCTAAACCCTAAAACCCTAAACCCTAAACCCTAAACCGCTCGCGGAGATAGCTTTGGAGGTGTCGGGCCAGAGCACTCAGTGGATCATAGGATGTAGCAAGTAAGGCTATGTAGCTTCTATAATTAAAAACGGTTTCTATAAGAATACTAGTAGGATTTCCATAAGGGTACTAATACGGGTCGCTATTGGATTCTAGGGTTTAGGGCGACTTAAAAAGTAGGGCTCTAAGCGCCGAAATTGGAGTCGTCTTTAGTTGTAGCCGAGACTGCCTTGATTCAAACTTAGGGCTCTGCATTGTGGGCTATGCTTTGGTGTCCCTTGCACGATCTGGTGCGAACACGAGGGGTCTGCATAACTACCAATCTCTTACCTCAGGTTCCTGAATTTACGAGATAATGTATTATAGGGGCCTTGATAGATAGGGTTTGGGGGGCATATTATATTATACTTACAATAAGAAACCCCCAAAATAGTATTGGTAATTGTTAAGGCCTCTACATTACACAACACCAACAGCCCGTTCCAATCATCTGGGCCCGTATACACCGGTGCTCCTTGAAATGCAACCAAGCCAAAAGGATTCGATGTGGTTAAGAAAGAGGTCGGAAATAATCATTGTGTCCTGTCTTATTCCCGAGTATAGTTATAGTATAATTTGCCGCAAACCACCATTCTATCTGCTAAGGCCGTATATTCTGTCTTGGAACCCTCACACAACCGAACCATAGCCTGCTCGACACCCTTTTCTCTGAGCATTAAGATGGAGGCCCTGATTTGTTACACTTCGTGCCGTATACTTTGCTACTATGCAGTCTTAGAAAGGGGTTGAGAATATCATCTCAACCTGGGATAGCGTGGTCTTTGGCGCCGAAAGCCTTCAGCACGAGACCTGAGGTTCTTCGGTAAGATACCCTGCAACTGAAGCCCTAAACCCTAAGCTCTAATCCCTAAACCCCGAAACCCCTAAGCCCCCTAAGCCCCTTAAGCCCCTAAACCCCTAAGCCCTAAACTCCTAAACCCCAAACCCGAAAACCGAATCCGAAGCGAGGAAAAAGCCTTCCAAGAGCAAGCCGAAGAGAAAGCCGCTGACGTGCACGAAGCCCCTCGAGGCTCGAACGGAGAATCAGGCTTGGGAGACGGTTTAGGGTATAATATAGGGTTAAGGGTTTAGGGTTTAGAAGTTTAGGGGTTAAGGGTTAAGGGTTTAGGGGTTTAGGGTTTAGGTTAGGGTTTAGGGTTTAGGGGCCTTCATAATTACCTATGCTATTTTGGGGGCTCCTTATTATGAGTATAGTATGAAATACCCCAGAACCCTCTTCCTAAACCCTAAAAACCCTATAACCCCTCTGAGCCTTACAAACCCTATAAGCCCTCTCAGCCCTAAGCCCTAAACCCAAACCTTTATTCTGTCTGCAGGGGCCTTTGAGCGGCGAGGGTGTTTGTATCAAAGTCTCCACGCAGCCCCTTTCAAGAACTTCTCCAATCGCCCGTGCATCCTTGTCTGAGTGAGACTTTAGGATTTTAGGGATCAGGGTTTAGGGTTCAGGGGGCAAACTCAAGTCTTGCCCTTGAGGCCTTGCCCATGCGCACGGAGCAGCGTGCAGCTGCTAGGGAGGCGGCGCAGGCACGCTGATGCAGACAGGGTGAAGGGCGTTGGTGCCACTGCCCGATGGGAGTTTCCGAAATGTGGGGTACCTTACTTTGGGGCCTTATATAGTAGGATCCTTGTTATAAGGACCCCAAAAGAAGGTACCTCTAATTTTCGGAAACTCCCAGATGGTTTTAGGTTCCGGGGAAGGGCTCCAGGCCTGGGTGCAGAAGGTTCAAGTGCATCACCTTGTGTGATTTCTCTGGAGGGATCATGTAAAGGAAACTCCAGAAAGTTGGAATATGGTTTCATGGTAGGATCCCCTATAATTTACCTTACTGGGGTTACGATAATGATATTGCAACTTTCTGGCTTCTACTGTCAGGGTTTAATGACATGGAGCCCCCAAAGTATATGGGGAGATTGAATCGGCTTCCTCGGTGGCGTGTGGGGGAGGCGAACCTGAGCCCTGTAATTAGTGATGCTGTGCATGTTACTATGTATGTACGTATGTATGTATGTATGTATGTATGTACGTATACGTCAAGGTCTGTGCCTCGTACATATACAAATGCATGTGTGTGTATATATATATATATATATATCTATATATATATATATATATATATATGCGTGCAAACACACACACACACACACACACACATGTGTGTGTGTGTGTGTTGCCTACGCCGTACAGTTCCCAAGCCATGAACGCCCTGAACCTACGAACTTCGAGACTTTAAGAAGCCTTTAAAGCCCCTTGTCCGAGCTTCCAAGGCCGAAGCGGATGAGCTGGAGGCCAAACTGAAGGCTCGTGCGTCTGTGGCCCACCTTGAGCATCCGATGCACCTAGGCCGAACATGTCGCAAAGGGTTTGTGGGGTGTAGGCAAAAACGTATGTATGTGTGTATGTATATATGTGTGTATGTGTGTATGTATGCTTGTATGTGTATATACACACATACATTTACATCTACGCCAACATGCATCTATAATGGCATAAAGGTATTGTGTGGTTAAGATTTTGTTGTGTATGTGTGTGTATATATGTGCATATGTACAAGTACATGAGGACATAAATGTCTATATATATATATATATACATATACATATGTATCTATGGAGATATACGTATTTTGTACATAGAGCTAGCCACATATGTATTATACATTGCAACAGAAAGACAGCGATCTTCAGAGCCTTCGCAGGGGTTTCATAGCTGATCTTGCTCCTGCTCCGCTTTCTTTATTGGTTCTGAGCCCTCTAACTAGGGATCTATAAGGGTTTCACTATGGGTTTCTGGGCAATTTAAGGGTAGCTCGAATTAGATCAACAACTGGTTGTTTAGGCTGGAATGATTTCACGGAGGGTTGCCAGAAGTGTTTGTTTATCATAGTTCGGGTAGTGAGGTGTTACAGAACGGGGAGCGATTATTCCAGATCTTAAGGACCCTGAAATCCCAAACCCTGTGAACCCGAAACACTGCCCTTCTCGCAAACAAAGCCTAAACCCTGAACCCAAACCTCGAACCCTAAGCGCTAAACTCCCTAAACCCCGAACCCTGAGCCCTAAGCTCCTTAAACCCTAAACCCCAAACCTTAAACCCTACCTGAACCCTGAACAACCTACCTTTTTAGGCTTCCTTATTATGTTTTCCTTATAAAAGTCCTTAAAAAGGGTAGGTTGTCCCGGGTTGAGGTAAACCCCTTGTGCTAGAAACCCTACAGTCAAAACCCTGAGGCCTAAGCCCTACTTAAAGGATCATGGGACTTAGTAACTAGGGATACTTAAAGGGTTCCTAGAACGGGATCTATAGGGGTTCCTTAAAGGGATCTATAGGGTTTAGGGTTTAGGGTCTACTTAAAGGATCATGGGACTTAGTAACTATGGTTATAGTTCGGGAAACTATACTTATACCAACTTATAACCCCAATTAGGGTACCTATAACCTTACTTACTAAGTCCCATGATCCTTCAAGTAGACCCTGAAGCCCAGACCTCTCCTAGCGGTCCTAGCCCTGAGCCTTCAACGTCCTGGGTGGCTTAGGATTTTTTGGTTTCTGTTTAAGTTTCCCTTCTGGTTCCTATAGAGATACCTATTCATAAATACCTGTAAGGGCCCCGAAACTACAACCTAGCTTCCTAAACCGTAAGAAGCCCAAGCCCTGCGTCCAAGAAGCCCTCTGATTCTGACCCTAAGGGTCCTAATTATCATATATGCTCCTAAATAATTACGAGCCTACGTAACTACTATCCTAAAACCGGGTAGTCCTTTGGACCCTTAGGGTGATGTCCTCCAGAGCCTGACTGAGGCTCGAAAGCTTGCTTCCGCTGCCTAACGTACCGATGCGCCTCGGAATGCTTTATGGCCTAGGATTTATAGGGGTTTAGGTTCAGGGTTTAGGCGTTTAGGGTTCAATGTTTAGGGTTTAAAAGGCCATTTATATCGATAGTCTACATAAAGGATCATGGGACTTAGTAACTTCGGTTATAATTAGGGTAACTATACTTATAACCCCAATTAAGGTACTTATAAGCTTATTTACTAAGTCCCATGATCCTCCACGATAGTCTAGCCCTAAACCCTAAACCCTAAACCCTAAACCCTAAACCCTAAACCCTAAACCCTAAACCCTAAACCCTAGGGTGTAGAGAATAGAGGTTTTCTTATTTCAGGCCAAAGGTTCGGGATTTGTCACTCATTTTCTAGGACCTAGAGTAGGCCCTTATTCCCTTTCTTAGGGTTTAGGCTCCCTTATAACACCCTTTAAACCAAAAAAGGGCACCCTTTTTATGCCTAGGTTACTCTTAGGTCTAGTTTTTAAAGCTTGCTGTCCCATCAGCGTGCCGAGGATACATGCGCCCTTGGCGTGAACGGTAGGCATCACGACTTTTGGCGTTCCCAATCCCCTACCTTATCCCTGAATAACCTACCTTTTTAGGGCTCCTTATTATGATTTCCTTCTGTAAGTCCTTAAAAAGGGTAGGTTATTGCGGGTTAAGGAAAAAAGCCTAGACCCGAAACACTTTCGTCGGCCCACATATGGTTTAGGGTTTAGGGTTTAGGGTTTATATGTGATATGAATCTGAATGAACAAAGCGAGCAATTCCTAGAGGGATCGTGATGTGAATATGTGATTTCTCAGCAGGAAGCCCTAAACCCAACACCCAAAACCCACATCACAAGCTCCAAGCACCACATTGACCGTCGAAAGCCCGACCGTTTATAAGGAAATCATGGAAAGGATGTCTGAAATGGAGGTCTTGGAAGCCCCATTCTCTCTCCGAGGCATCCCCGCCAGCCCACACAGCCGAAACCGCCCCCGGGCCCACCACCCGGGCGCACGCGGCCGGGTTTGATCCTCTACAAGGACCAGGCAGGATGTTTTCAGGGTTTAGGGTTTGGCCTTCGTGCAGGGTTTAATCAAGCTTCAGAGTTTATACGCCCGGCTTTTCGCATGTTCGGGCTGAGGGAAGGTTGAACAGAATCTGGCGCCACTGAAGGTGATGATGGGCGGTAAGCCGAGTAGGAGCCATTTGGCCTTTACCTGTTCTAGGCACGTGCCATTTCAGCTGTGCTTTTCAACCCTGAACCTTGAACTCTAAGAAGCAGCAGCCCTCCACCCTGTAGTTTTGAGGGGTCTTGCCACAATAACAATTACAACAATAGTAATAATAGTAACAATAACAGTAACAAAAATCACGATAACAAGGATATTAAGTCTCAACAATAATAATCATAAATAATCATAATAATAGTAATAATAGTAACAATAACAAGAATAAGGATATTCAGTATTTTGAGGTGTAACCGTCTCAGAGCAAGGCTGGCGATCGCCTTTGGGGCTTGCGGCTGGATTAGCGGATATTGCCACCCCGGAACCCTACGAAACTCAGAGGTAGTTAGTAGAACCCTTGCCCATTTGCGGTAATAATGCCTATACTCCCCACTGCACCCCACCCAATATATCACCACTATTTCCCCATTACCAATATCCATAAAAAGGAATAACAAATGACTTCATCCATATTCCCTAAGGTGGTATTCTCATCCCGAACTGGGCAAAGGTTCTCTCATGGATGTTACGAGGTTGAGGGTTAACGCTCTTTGTCGCAATGAAGTTGCAACCCGCAAAATCTCATGCATTCTACATAGGCAATGTCTACCGAGTCGATTTATTCATCAAAACTGTTGTGTAAAGGGCGGTATGAAATAAGCTTTGAACGGCAGTGATGATGATTTAGGTATAAGAAACGGTGACACCGATAGAGCAGTTAGTTTTATCATAGGAACGACTGGAAGCACACCCGAATTATCATTAAGTGAAGTATATATATATATATATATATATATATATTTGCCAATGTAGAAGTAACACACATTGACGACGCAGGAGCACAAAAAGTAGCAATCAATGACGCAGGCGACAACGGATGGATTAGATTAAGTAGCAGTGGTTCATCAAGACTAGATGCAACAACGACCGGCGTTGATGTATATGGTGTTTTAACAACAATAGGAAATGCATATATTAACGGGAATGTAACATGTGGTGCTTCAGTTGAAACAACAGGTTCTAAATTGAAAGAAAAGATTAAAGAGATGAATACAAAAGAATGTTATAAAGCAGCAAATTATATCATACCGAAAACATAGAATTTGATTAATGATGAACGCACAAAGTCACATTGGATTTATAGCAGACGACATAAACAAACACAAGCAAACAAAACGCTAAAATGCCAAAATAATGGGACAACATAGCATTTTATAATCATGATGGCATGAAATGATTAGCGTATAGTACAACGGCAATTCTATTGTTGGTGGGGGGGGCAGTTCAGCATCTTTTTGGTGAGAAAGATGAGTTATTAGACATGGTTAAACTGATGAACAATTTTAAAGATGAAAGGGGGGATAACAAAGTTGAAGAAAAAGATTAAAGATGATGATTAAAAATACTGATTTTGGGCACTATTGATCACCACCTATTTCGATTCGTTGCTGAAAATAAGCAATATAGAACATGCTGTTCACATCTTTAGCATTCGTTGTTATATAAAGGAATGAGTATGGTGCAAAATTCACACCTAGTTGTTGCATATCATATAGTTCTTGTCTACAAGGGCTCTATTCTCTTCTAAGAAGCTATTTACCTTGCTCATGTTCTTCAGTCTGAGTATGAAAAGTGCTTACGCATTAAGTCTTATTATGGGTGCTAAGGCATTATCTTTTTGTGTTTATAAAATACATGAGATCGCATTATGTCTTCCGCGGGTGAGCAGCCCAGGCAAGATATTAGAGTATCTTACAAATTTCGGGTAATCGGCAATGTCGTCCACCACTATCAAAGTACTGAAAAGCTCCTTTTGTGTATTCTTCTTCTAGAGTTTCTATAATATGCTTCAAGGCACTTAGCTCATATTTTTCATAATTTTGTTTTTCGGAATTCTCTTTCATTACGTCAGCAATGTATTTATTGACTGCCTTCCATGTGTCATTAACGTGAACACGAAGGCTAAAGAAGTATAGCCTTTCAAACGAACCACGATAGATTTTTAAAGAATTAGGTGTTGCATTAAAACAGATTTGCTACCCGTTGAAGAAGCAACACATAACATGTTTGCTGGTAGTCTTGGCATCATTTCATACTCGCTATTCTTGTAATTGTACTCGGGTATGTCTATAGGTTATATGTACATTAGGAACATCCTCACTCATTATTTCAATAGAAAATTGATCTACAGTCTTGTGACAGAACCCCTTCGTTGCAAGTGCCCCTGACAAGTATTCTGAGACATCACCGCATCATAAGCATGTAGTTAATTTGCTTGGTGTCAATGCTTTTCATAGTTTATGTATTATGAAAAACTGTAAGCTCGCATAATATGACAACATGTGTTGACGTGGGTTTTTATCAATACTGAGTATTACCCTCTTCATTGTGATCGGCAATGTGCTGGATGTAAACAGTAGAAAAACTTTGTGTATTTTCAACGTTATTATCATGCTGACACAGGTAAGTATTTAATGCAGTATAAACACACGGGTACTTGTTGTGAATGTTTAGGTAGCATGAGAGAAGACAGCAATAAACGGAACATGACCTAAACATGTAGCGTCATTTGCATGTAGCATGGAAGGTTCAAAAATCAAATGCTCAAGGTGTCACAGTAAATAGACAGTTGAAGAATTCGGATACAGCAAGAATAACAAAGTGGTTGCAACTTGCAGTCAATGCAGAGACAAGAGGAAAGAGTATACTCGTAAATACAAAAAGCCAGACGACAAGCCGTCAGAAATTGCTACTGTGTTTAACCATACACGGCATTTTTTCTTGAATATTTTGTTGATATTTAACGATCAGGATAATAAGGTGATACTTGAAATGCCTATGAACAATGAGGTATAGGATAGAGCAACCTGTCAAAGCAATTCGTTCTCCAAACTATATCGGATAATGCATGCATAAGTTTAATAAAAGCATACTTTATAAGAGGCATTGTATCATAAGCATACTATGGTTACAACCTTTGAAACTAAACCTAGTAAAATCTATAAGAGAGCCTTTGCCCATTTCGAGGTGATAATACCACCTTAGGGAATAAGGATGGGGTATTTGGTTATGTTTTATACTTGTATTGGTAATGGGGTAGGAGTGGTGATAATTGGGGGGAACTGTAGGCGGGGGGGGGGGGGGGGGTACAGGAATAATCTTAATGGGTTGTCTGGTGGTAATATTACCCAAAATGGGCAAGGGTTCTACTAACTGAGCTTGGGATTCCTTATTGTGGTTTCCGACTATAGGTCCATGAAAACATGTAGGTTGGGACTTGGGGTGTAGAGTTTTTGGAGTTAGGGGCTCCGGGTTTTCGGTTGTGGGCCGTGGGTTATGGGCAAAGACTTCCGGGTCTATAACATGGGCACAAACTCTTCGAAAGGAACTTTGGGTGAATTCTCCGGTGGGTTCACGGCGCAATATTCGTCTGCTAACAAGACACTATGGCCACTAGCTGGGAAATCACCAGAGCTTGAAGGAGGACTGCTCTTGGGCGGATGCCACCAGCTTCTACCACGAAGGCTCGCGCAGGCCGGAAACTTTCTGAGATTACACTCACGCACTTGGGAGTTTCCGAAAATTAGGGGTACCTTATTTGGGGGTCCTTATAATAAGGATCCTACGATTTAGGATTAGGGGTACCTTATTTGGGGGTCCTTATAATAAGGATCCTACGATTTAGGATTAGGGGTACCTTATTGGGGGGTCCTTATAATAAGGATCCTACGATTTAGGATTAGGGGTACCTTATTTGGGGGTCCTTATAATAAGGATCCTACGATTTAGGGTACTATATTAGAGCCCCCTCTTTTGGGAAACTCCCACTTACATAGGGCCTCTGTCCTTGCCCCTGGGGGATGTTGGTTATGCGTATGCAGACGCAGCTTAATTAACTGCATGCCTCTTTGCCTGCATTTATCTCTCAGCGTAAGCACAGCTGCAGGCATCTCGCTCTGTCCCTTTCTCTCTCTCTCTCTGTCTCTCTCTCTCTCTCTCTCTCTCTCTCTCTCTCTCTCTCTAAACAGATATGCACATGCATATGCACGCACTTGTGGATATCTATATGCGCGCGCGACAATAAAATAACCAAGTGTAAAGTTAGATTCGGCTCTGGATCTTGACATTTCCCCACGTTGGAAGTTCTGCTGCATGGTCCCGGCATGTAACGCGGGCCCAAGTCTCTATATCTCGATACTATAAACCCTCAACCACAGAAATCCCCAATCCCGAACCCTATCAACCCAAAACTCTGAACCCTAAACCCTAGTGAAACCCAACCCAAAACCCGAAACCCAAATCCCCAAAATCAGCCGAGCCAAAAGCAATTTCGAGGCATGGCCGGTCCAGTGAAGGCTGCCTCTTGGAGGGGGGGGGGGAGGGGGTGGTTTAGGGTTCAGGGTTTCTAGAGTTCGGGGTTTTGGGTTTCTAAGGTTTGGGGTTTTAGGGTTTAAGGTCTAGGTTTAGGGTTTCTAGGGTTCGGGGTTTTGGGTTTCTAAGGTTATAGTAGAAGCCAGAAAATTGGAACATCAGACTCCTCATGCCCTTAAGGTAAAGTATAAGGGATCCTAGCACTAATCCTCCTAAAGCCATGTTCCAACTTTCTGGCTTCTATTGGCTTCTACTGTATGTGGTTTAGGATTTAAGGTTTAGGTTTAATTAGGGTTTAGGATTTCTAGGGTTTGGGGAGGGGGTGCACGAATTGGGGCATATCTTCGGGGCCGAACCGGCTTTCAGGTGTTTTTATCGGCCTTGTCTGTTGCCTATGGTGCGAGCGGTATTGTTGGGTGTTTGACTTGCAAGCTTTTCGTCTTTGGCAGAAGCAATGCGGCTGAGGATCCACAGATTGTGAAACCCGCGGCTTAGGGTTGAGGGTTTATCGAAGGTGTGTGCAGAGAAGTTTTCCCATTCCTGCCGTATGCTACACTGTTGAGCGACCTGTTGTCCATTGTTAACGGTTTGGGGTGTGCCCAGACCCCTGCTACAAATGACACATCTGTGCCAATCCTGCACCCGTTGCATACTAAGCTCGCCCTATACCCTACCTATAGTCTCCATTGAGGATCCTAAAAGGTATCCCCCCAACAGGAACTACAATGGAGACTATGGGCAATTAAACCCTGAACTCTGAATCCCAGGTTGGCGAAATATGTAATTCGGCGAATCCGGGCCTAGGGGCTGCCCTGAGAGGCGCCTTTGAACAGCGGAAGTTGCAGAGCCACGGTTTAGGATCTAGGGCGGTTCGGGGTTTCATGCCTAGGGTTCCCAAAACGTAGTGCTCCAGGATTATCGGGTCTTAGGGTTTAGGGGTTTAGGGGTTTAGGGTTTAGGGCTTAGGGTTTATAGGGTTCCTGATCATGGCACTTTAGGCTTCAAGGCTCAGGATTTGGGGTAGTGGATCTAGGGCATACCCGAACGGGGCCTACCGAGAGTCTACCAGCTGTGCACCTGAAGCCCTGCAGTTGGAAGAGTTCGCTCTGCACAAGACTTCAAGTCTTTTCGAGCCACCCTCGAAAAGCGCCGTCGTCGGCCCCAAGTAATTCGTGCTAACTTTTACACCTGCATGATGGCTCTGCCGTTCGTGGCAGAAGATGTAGTAGTCCCACGGAAAAGTTCAAGACGAACAATGTTGATCCATTGAAGGTCATCCCCCAATTAAGGGCCTACTTCAAATCCGCATCCTGATCCTGAAAGCATGATATGATCAAGGCCCAGCATTATAGCTCCAGACGAAGTCAGTACAGAAGCTGGCTTCGGATTGCCTTTGGAGTAAACCCGAAAGAGTTGGAAAGCGGATTAAAGACAATTAGTCCTGGTGGATGGACTGGAGGCTACTGGGTTTCAAACTTTTGGGCTTCTATTGCAGGGTAAGGTTATAAGTACCTTACTTGGGGTGTATAGTTACCCGAATGATACCCCTAGTTACTAAGTCCCATGATCCCCCAAGTAGGGTTGAATGAATTCTAAGATTCCCTAAACCCTAAACCCTAAACCCCTAAACCCTAAACCCTATTACTCTCAACAGCGGCGTTGTTGTTGGTTTCATCAAGGGCCAAGCTCTCAAGAGCCCACAACCTAAGCATGCAACTGCTTCAGAGTCTATAGATAGTATAGACTAGAGACTATAGATGACTTGTTACTTTCTACTATCTCAAAGATAGGGTCTACATAACATAGGTGAGTTGTGGAGAGTAGAATGAAAGAGCCCATCGTCTCACTCGTTCGCGCTGTCGCCCCTGCTGAAGAATAGGCTGGGTCTTGGGCGCAAACGATCACTGCACGGTACCGGTGGTGGCTCCTGCTCGGAGTTGGCAGACCTTCATTGAAACTGAATCCAGGCAGTACTTAGCCTTGGTGCACTGACTTTTGTGTGTCCGTGCAATGTCCACCAACCCCGCACGTGATCTTACAGCATTGGGTGGATTCGGGCTGAGGGTAGAAGCCCTTTGTCAAGAAGCTTTGCCTCAGACTCCCGTTGCCATTGAAGGAGTGTTCTTGTTCCCGTTGCGATTATGATTGTGATACGGAGGAGTCGCAGTAGACAGATAAGACGTAAGTTCTCACAAAGCTAAGCAGTACCTGTGTCTCACTGCAGCCTGCATGAGGGCACTTGAATCCTCGGAGGCAAGGATGTACTGCCCAGATTATTCTTCGGGGCTCCTTGTTGCAGCTACTTAAAGGATCATGGGAGTTAGTAACTAGGGTTATATTGAGGGTAACTATACTGATAAGGTACTTATAACCTTCAACAAGTCCCATGATCCTCCAAGTATACCAGACTTTCCTCCAAACCCGAATACATCTTATTAAGGCATGTACGCATAAACAGATCATCGGCCAAAGCAAAAGCCATTTGTGCACAAATGATAGCTCATCATGCCTGCACGCCCGGGTCTTTGGGGTTTAGGGCCGTTTAGGGTTTGGGGCTGCAGGCAGGCTTGAAGCTAAACCTTGAACCCTGTACTTACACCCTGAGCCCAAAAGCTAAACCGGAAATCCTGCGCACTATGAACCCTATAAACTAAGTTTACGTATTTTTCTCGGAAAGCTCCAACCCATCCCAACGCTGGCAGTAGCTCGATGTAGCTCGATGCGTGAAGACAGCCTGCGCGCCATGACGGTGAGCTTTAACGTGTTTGGGTTTTTTAGGGTTTCGGGGTCTAGGGTATTATGAATGCTTCAGCTGAGAACCTTGGGCGCTTGTGCCTAAATTTTGTAACCCTGGGTGCCTTAAGCCCGAAGCCCGAAAATCTACAGAAAGTCCCAAGCTTGGCATCTTGAGCTTAAGCCGCTTCAAGGGCTTCGGGGTTTAGGGTTATTAGGAGTTTAGGGGTTCGGGATTCAGGGTTTAGGGGGTTCAGGGTTGAGGGTTTTTTTTTCGAAAAGTTCTGACCATGTTCGCGGTCGAAGATGTGTCCGACGGGGCGAACCTGCTGTCACTCGGAACAGTCCTAGGCCGTAGATAGTGTAGAGCTCTACTTCGTGCACTGCTTTGCCTACTTAAAGCATCATGGGACTTAGTAAATAAGGTTATAACCAGGGTAACTATACTTACGAGTACTTATAACCCCAATTACGGTACTTATAACCTTACTTACTAAGTCCCATGATCCTCCGGGGTAATAAGTAGCTATAAATATAGCTACCCTAATTATAACCTTACTCACTAAGTCCCCTGATCCTCCAAGTAGGGTTGTAAAGCTGGTCAGGAGGGAGATCGATCTGGGAGGGTCTGCAAGGAAACCTTTGCCTTACACTAGTAAAGTTCCTCCTTGAAACCCCAATAAGCCTAGGGCCTATATTAATTAGAAGCCCTAAACCATGTTAGAATTACACGACGAAATAACTCCTAGATCCTAAGCCCTACCTGGACAGTAAGGAACCTACAGCTTTAGGGTTCCTGAATATGATTTCCTTATATGAGCTTTGGAGTACCATACTTTAATACCTTTTTGGGACCTGGTACTTAAAGGGAACCAATTATGAAAAACAAGTCTATACTTTTTTCTCCCTGGTTACTTCAAAGCCCAGTTATATGAGCCCTTAAGAAGGTAGGTTGTTTGGGGTCCAGGTAAACCATGTTAGAAGCCCTACTATGCTCGATCGGAGAGGCTGCTGTCCGATATTCTGCCACACACATGCGTTGACTCTGCAATGGGTTGTCATTTGGGATCTTTTTTGTTTCCCCTACTAGTTTGTAGAGAACCATAATAGTAAATAATAGTCAAAGGGCTTACAGGACAACTCAGACAAGCAAAGGAATGATGTCAGCTCATTGCAGCTCTGAACTGGAGCTCCCAAACAGCGCCAGAACAGTCGAACAAAATCCTCCACCACACCAATAAAATGCAGCCGGGACGACAAATCCGTCCTGTGATCAGCAGCAATCATTCCCCCCCCTTGTAGTGCCTGCATACAATAACTGCACTAGCATGCACCAAAACCCTACTGTAATCATCAAGGTCCGTACATTCGGGGTGCAGGTACCTCAATGGTAAGGCTTTAGGACGCAAGGGCTGTACGCTCAGCGGTGTGTTGTAGCGGAGGCTCGACTATTGTGATACCCGGCCTCATTCCCCCAGGGTATGTTGGTTAGTCATGAACTGATTAGCGCCAATACCCTCTTGTAGCCTCCATACAAGATCACTGTATTGCAACATACCCCAAGGGCCCGATTAGCTTGACCATTAAGGCACCTGTGGTGTTTGAATCAAGGCAATCAGACCTCGAAGTCTTAAGCAGCCCCCGAAGCGCCAAACCCTAAACCCTACACCCCAAACTCTAAGCCCCAAAACCTAGACCATAAACCCCAAAACTCTAAGCCCCAAACCCTAAACCCCAAACTCTAAACCCCAAATCCTAGGCCCTAAACCCCAGACCCTGAACCCCGCACAGCGTGAGGCACCCGATGGGCAGATTCTTCAGGAGGGCATCAGCGAAGCGGGTGCGCTGTGCACCTGGATCGTGGGGGCACCCAGGTCAGAGTTCTCCAGACACTCTAAAGCCTTCAATTTAGTTGAAAGTTCGACTCGAAGCCTCATATTCAGTTAAGGGGTTTAGGGTTTAGGGTTCAGTAGAAAAACTTGGCGAAGGACTACATCCGTATATCCATCGTGCAAAGTATCCCAAGCCCCGGCTCCAGCTAGGAAGGCCCCGGCATCGCCAGGGCTTGAGAGTTTAGGGTTTAGGGTTTAAGGGGGAAGGGTTTAGGGTTTGGATTCAGGGGCTTAGTGGGCTACTGGGCTTACGGTTGAGAGTTTTTGGAGGACTAGGGGTGGCTAAGGTGAAATTGTTTTCAGTTTTTCGGGCGTTTAAGGTCCGGGGTCCGGGGTCTTGATGGTAGCAGATACCACAGCAGTGGTACAAAGTGGGACGACTGCCAAACCTGACCCCCAGACTTGCAGGGAGCAGCAGCTCTTCAGAGTCCACTTTGTTGCTGAAGTTGCTCCTTGTACAGAGGTGAGGCCCTCGGTGAGGCTTGGGCGGAAAGCTGGACGACAACTCCAAACCCCTAAACCCCTGGAGCCCTAAACCCAAAGCGCAAGCTGTAAAACCCTAAAGCCCATAAGCACTGATTTCCCATATCCTAAGGCCAAAACTCTAAACCCAGTACATTCTAAACCCCTAAATGTTTCCGAAACTAGGGGACCCTAACATGGTACCCTTAAATTTTAGTAGGATCCTTCTTATAAGGACCCCAAAATAAAGGTACCCCTAATTTTCGGAAACTCCCAAATCTCAAGCCCAAAAGCCTAAAGCCTCAACGCTAAACTCCCCAAGACCGGAACACTTTCAAAAGCTAGGATGCCCAGTAGTACCCTTATTCCCTTTTTGTAGTCCTAGGTTCCTTATAAAGTTACCCAATACCAAAAAGAGAGGCCTTTTTATTCTTAGGTTAGTGGGTATCCTAGAAAGGCAGCTGGCACCTCGTACTCGTCGCAGCAGGCACTCTGCTGGCCTCTGTTTCTCATAAGGTAAAAGCCAGAAAGTTGGAATATGATTATCCTAACCCTTCTATGGTAAATTATAGGGTATCCTACCATGAAACCATATTCCAACTTTCTGGAGTTCCCTGTAGGTGGGTTTAGGGGTTATGGGACTTAGAGGGTTTCGGGCTTGGGGTTCAGGGTTTAGGCGTTCAGGGTTTAAAGGGAA